TTTTTTTCTTAATATCGACTTTTTTATTTTTCAGATAAATTCAGTGTAGTTGCATCTTAGATAAATAAATAATTTTACATAACATGTATACATTAAAAAATAAATGTATTTTTCATCATCATATACTGTGTTTTTGTCGCTCGAATGAATTTTATTATTTCTTCAAGGTTTTCCACATACGTACACCTTAAGAGATATCAAGTAGGCATAACATGTTCTCAAAAAATTAGGGTTAGCACGCAGAAGAATTTTGAGTCAGAGATTTTGCTGGTTTTGGCACGCACTCACAAAAAGGTTGCCCACCCCTGGTAGATGTTTAGTCCAAATGTAACAGTGAGAAAACAATAGATGGAGTGAGGGACATTCTACTGAGCTGACCTGGGTTTTTCAAAAGCATCAATGCTGTCAAGAACCAGGAAAAAACAAAAAAGACGACTTTCTGGATTAAAGGAGAATGAAACGGCCTGGCTCCTGGATCACAGGAGGTTCCAGAGGGTGACAGTGAGGCCAGCAGTTGGGAAGCGGCAGCTCATCTGTGAAGTACCTACTAGCAGAGGACTGGAATCTCAAAGTGAATGGTTGGAAAAAGAAAAGACTGGGAGTGCGATTTTATCTTTCTACTTTATCTCTGGCTAATCTTTCTGTGATACTGTGATTTATAAGAAATATATACTAGGTCTGCATCTTACTGCAGGAAAAGAGCTCTGACCTTAGGAATTTCCTAAATGACGAGAGCGAAAGCGTGAACAGGTGTTTTGTTATGTTAACAAGACTTGTGAAGTTCCAAGGGTGGGGGCTGCCACAGGAACCAACCCAGATTAAAGGTAGAACTTTCCAGAGGAGCCAAGGGAGCTCCATCAGCAATGGGCAGACTTCATCCATCTCATCTGTGTAATGCAGCCTCCATAAATCCCAGGAGGGGGTTCAGAGAGGTTCTGGGTTGGTGGACTAGTAGAGATGCTGGGAGTGGCACCTGGAGAGGGCAGGGAAGCTCCTCCATCTTGCTGTTCTTGATTCATATCCTTTAGAATAAACTCGTGATCTGTAACATCTTGAGTTTTGTGAGCTGCTGCAACAAATAATCCAACCTGAGGGGGGGGTGGGGGTGGGAACCTCCAATCTATAGCATTGGTCAAAGCACAGGTGACACCTGGGCTTGATATTGGCATCTGAGGTGGGGGAGGAGGGCGGACAGGGTGCCATCTTGTAGGACTAAGGCCTTAACTCATGGGGTCTGACACCATCTCCAGGTAGATGATGTCAGAACTGGGATGAATTGTAGGACACCCAGTTGGTATCAAATTGCTTGGTGGGTAGGTGAAAACCCACACATCAGAACCAGTGTATCTTACCTTCTAATTTCTAAGCAGAGATCTCCTGATTTCTTCCCCTCCCCCTTGCAGTAGTTGTCTGGTGATCTGCATGTTTTTGAAAGGGCCAGTTCAGGAAGTTATTAGTTCTATCATTTCTCCCTTAAAATCGTCAATCTCTGTATTTGGTGTCATCATACCACTCTTTGGGGGTTTCTTCTGACAATTTTGTTCTTTTCCAACTTCATTTTCACTTTTTACTCTCTGATCACCAGTATGAAGGTGCAGAATTCAGTAAAGGTCAAATTCTGCTATGTAGTCTGTTAACTTGACTTCCTTTGACCCAAAAGCTAAGACAGAGGTTTAAACTTCGAGGTAGTAGAGTTTTGTCTTTTTTCCTATTTATTCTGCATTAGTTTATACAAACGTTTAAAAGAGGTACACTCTGCTACCAGAACCTAGTCTTTGGCACGCATCTGTTATACTCTGACTGTGTTATGCTGGTTTTGTGTAACTTAGTTTTTACTTATTTGACCTGTCATGGTCTCTTTGTTGATGTAAGTTTTGCTTCCCTGCGTTCGAGACTATACTTTGTGATGAGAACATTCTCTTGTTGACTTGATCTCTATTACCAGAACACCAGACACATGAATTGGCTCAGGATGGGGCAGAGCCTGTCACAGCTGCACCCTGGGACTCGAGAGCCTGCCTGTGGCCTGTTACGTCACAAGTATCCTGTTAATAAATGGGTTTTCCTTTGTCCCAGCAACCCATTTGTAATTTTCTAGAGCTCTCCTAACATTTTTTAAGCTTTTTATGTCCTGTTTTTTGTCTTTTGATCAATGACAACAACTAAACAATATATTTGCCTTCCCGACCTCCTGAACCCAGGTCTTTCAGAATTCTGAACATTTTCTGGTGTTTGGTGGCAGGAAGATAAGGCTGTAGTACCAGTGAACAGCCTTTCTTCTCAGGATTATTATTATTATTATTATTATTTTGGATGCTTATAAAAGTTTCTCTTCATTTTTGCAATTTGGAAATGTCACCAGACACATGCATATTTTATACATACTTGATTTTAAAAATTTGAGGTTAACTCTAAAGGCTCAACTCTTTCTTTAAAAATATGTATTGATTTTTAGAGAGAAGAAGGGAGAGGGATAGAGAAATAGAAACATCGATGAGAGAGGAATATCATCGACTGGCTGCCTCCTGCACACCCCTTACAAGGGATCAAGCCTGCAACCCGGGCATATGCCATGACAGGGAATCGAACCAGCAACTTCTTGATTCCTGGGTCAACACTCAACTGCTGAGCCACACCAGCCGGGCTAAAGGCTCAACTCTTCTTCCAGCTCCAATTCCTTTACTCTCACCCTGCCCTTCTCTCCTGCCATTCCAACCCACACGATTATTTCTATTTTGCTCTATTTCTACTTCTGCCATCAAATTATTTGCCCCACAGCTTTTCTGATTATTCTTGTATTAATCGGTTTTCATCCATGTCACCTGTACTCACTGCCAGATTATTTTTTCCAATCTATTTCTCCCTCGGTTCCATGACTTCCCACAGTCCACTGTGCTTACAAAGGTGTGACTCTTATCAACATTAAACACGGTGAGGGCCTGTTCTGGATGTCCTAGCGGGCCCTTAGGGGGTGAGTAGGGAAATCTAAGGAATGAAGTGTCCCCTAACCTGGCACGTTTCCCATAAAATCTGAGCAGGAACGTTGTAAGCAACCTCTATCACTGGAGAGGGACTTAAGAGATTTCTGACATCAACAGGCTTTTCTTAGTAACTGTGCACTGTTTCTCCACATTCTGCTTTGCTGAACCCAAGCCTCCCTCCCCAGCCTGCTGCCCTAGGTAACTCAGCAGCGCACCAGGAAAGCAGCTGACCTGTCTCCATGAAGCCTAGGCTCTCAAAGCTCAAAGGAATCAGGATGAGCCATTTAGAATCACATCACCTCCCCTCATCCCTCACCCCACACCTCACTACACTGTGTTCAGTCCCAGTGTTGTTGTTGGTTGTGTTCTGGTGCTCTTCTTCCTAAATATGGGCACACATCCTCCACTTGTTCCTGTGATGTGCACCCATAACTCCTGATCCAGGGAAGGGAAGGATGATGCAGTGAGACTAGGCCCTGATCTTGGCCAGGTGGCCACACACATCCCACTTGAGAGCCTGTTAACAATGCAGGTCAGACCCTCCCCAGAACCAGATCCACAAGCTCCTGGGATAAGCCCGGGTTCACGTCTCATCTCAGTTCCAGCTTGGCTGCTCTGAATGACCAAGACTCCCAGAAGAGACTGGAGAGGGCCCTCACCAGCATCACCCCCACTCCCCAAGATAGATGGAGGTTCTGGAAAGCCACTTGCCCCCTATCTCTTCCTGGCCACTGCCAGTCTGTAGTCTGAAGCCAGGGGTTGGACCAGTGGCTGGGCTAGACCCCGAGGAGGGTAAAGAACAATCCCCCCAAAAAGAAATTAAGGTGTAACAGAGAATTGAGCAGCCAGACAGTAAGAATTGTAACTGGGCACTGTTTCTCCACTTTCTGCTTTGCTGAGAAAATGCTTAAGATCCTATGTATTTTCTTTTGGAAAAACAAAAAAACACACACTGGAACCAACTATGTTTACATGTCAACATGAGCTTTTTCTGAAAGGTAAAATCAAGTGATTTTCCCCCTTCTTTGCACATTTCCTAAGTTTTCTATGTACCATAAAAATTTCAGGAAATGGAATATGGAGAAAAGGCAAGAGGAAGAACTATACACCCTTCTGCTGTGGTTCCAAGTTAATCACCTCTCAGAGGAACAGAACTGTTAAGGGATGAGGTATCTACCAGAGGGTTCAGAGCTGTAGAAACCAGTGTTGCTTCTTTTTTTAAAATATATTTTATTGATTTTAGAGAGGAAGGGAGAGGGAAGGAGAGAGAGAGAAACATCAATGATGAGAGAGAATCACTGATTGGCTGCCTCCTGCACGTTCCCCACTGGGAATCAAGCCCACAACCCAGGCACGTGCCCTTGGCTGGAATTGAACCTGGGACCCTTCAGTCCCCAGGCCGATGCTCTATCCGTTGAGCCAAACCAGCTAGGGCCCAGTGTTGCTTTTTATTAATAAGTCACATCCCCGGCTTCCCAATCCTATGTTGACAGTGACTATGAGTCCTGCACATAGTCAACCCAGCACGCCTCAATGGCACAAAAACCATGGGGGTCCTAAGTAACCCAGCTCTGGAGAGAATCCAGACCCTACCCCTTAGCCTGGTCTTCTCTGTAAGGAAACCTGGGGTCCCCTGGCCTCTGTTTAGGGTGTCCAGCTGCTGTGCAGGACTCATAGTCACCGCCCTCAGGTGAGGCCCCTGTGAGCCCGGGAGGAATAAGTGCTCAGCTGCTGCTCCCCGAGTTCCGTCAGTCCCAACCCTGCTTTGTTGTCACTTACTGATGTCCTCCATCACCACCGTGTTATCCATTGCTATGTGGACAGCCAGGGCGCTCCATGTGTCGAAGATAGCAAGTTTCCTATCAGAAAGGGGGAGGACACGCCAATAAGCTTTCACAATTCAAAGATGGTTCAGCTCTGCAGGATACCAAGGGAACAGCGTCTCTCACAGGAGAAAAACCAAGGCTCAGAGATGTCAGTGCCACAGGTGGGAATAAAGCTGAAGCTGGAACCTGTTTCTTCCTCCCAGGGTCCAGTGCTCCCTCCATGACCCCCAGCTGCCTTTGTAGAGAGGAAGTTCCTGCACAGGAGCCTCTTGGTGATGTCATGTCCTGGCCTAGTTGGCATGTGGAGGTGGGAACCAGATCATGAGCCAGGAGTCAGATACCGCAGGCTTTGCCAGCCCCACTTCACTCTGCTCCCTTCAATTCCACCCCAGATGTGCTGAGCTGAGGTTCCCGGTTGTAAATGACTGAGGAGTTGTGGCCACAGGATTCTGGCTCTGGAAGAAAGGCACACTGCCACCAGAAGTATAATGGGGGTGTGGAGGCATCTGACTTACTCTCAAGTGCAGTGGAGGTGGGCTCCCATGTGAGAGGACCTAATGGGTCTGGGGACACGGGTGGAGGGTTGGGGCACTGGGCTGTCCACACAGAGCCCCTATTGGGGGAAAGGCCAGATAGGATTCCAACAGAGCACCTGCAGTGCTGCACCAGCCACTGAGGGCCAGGAGCTGTGCTGAGGATGCAATGACATGTGACAGACAAAGCCCCTAGAGAGGTTGACACGGGGGGAGGGGGCAGCAAGAAATACATAATCCTATGAGGTAGGAAGTGCCCTAAAGAACAAAGCAGGGGCAGGAGGGGCACGACCAGTGTAGTGCAGGAAGGCCCTGATGCAAAGGGCACAGCACGTGCAAAGAGCCTGAGGTGGTGTGTCCCTCTGAGAAGCAAAAGGTGCCATGTGCCAGGGAGCAGCACAGGGCAGCCAGGCCTGCACCTGCAGCCTTCCTGCATTCACTGGGAAGCCCGGGGTGTGCTGAGCAGAAGAGGGATGGGTGGCTGACTTATAAATGTGAAGATGACTTCTGCTGTTATTTGAAAAGAGACTCCAGAATGGCAAAGAGAAGACAGACTAACAAGGAGGCAAGAGCTGGGGCTTGGACCAGAGTGAGGACAGTGAAGCGAGACACACTGGTCAGTTAGGACACACTGGATGGGTGTCTTGAGAAAGAAGAGCCAAGTATAATCCCAGTGTCTGGCCTGAGTGCCAGGAAGGAGGGGCTGCCCTCAGTGAAGGAGAAGCAGACAGGGTAGGGGAAGGTTCAGCTTAGGGTTCAACATGCCACTTGGACATCTAAGATGCTGAGTGAACATCCTGATAGGACAGATTAGCACTGGGGGATGTGACTCTGGGAGTTGAGTATGAGCAGACAACAGCTAAAGCTGGGCATGGACAGTGCAGAGAAGCAGCCACAGTCCTGAGACAAGGCCCGCAGGGCTTACAGGTGGGGAGGGCCAGCAACAGATTCCGAGGCGGCAGAGGAACAGAAGGACCAGCGAGAATGGCTCTGTGGCCTGGATTTCCAAAGACAGCAAGTGCCTAAGCCAAGGGTTGCTTGCTGATGGCTGAGTAGGAACAGAAACTCGGCCTTCAGACATGACAGGTTGATGGTGAGCTCAATTGGGGTGTTTCAAGGCAGCAGTGGGGAGAAAAGTGTCTGTGAGTAGTACAAGACAGGAAGAGCTCACACAGACCATGCAGGCCAACCATGCAAACAAACTACACTTTCAAGGCATGCAACACTGGGCCCGGGACTTTAAAGGACATGTGGGAGGGCTAAGTAATCCAGGGGCCTGGATAAGGAGATGGAGAGACAGTGTCAGGCTTGGGGACCAGCTGGAAGTTGGAAATGTAAGAGAAGAAAATGTCCTGGAGGATCCCAAGAAACCTGCCGAGGACAGTTGGGTTGAGATGGCAGTCATCCACCACGTGGAGGGAAGAGAAGGGCAATTCCAGGAAGTCACATGGGGGCGCCTGTGGGAGCCTCCCATGGGGGTAGGGAGCAGAGGGGCAGACAGCGAGGCAGGGGGTAGAGGGAAGGTCAAGGCTGGAAACAGGTTTCAGAGAAGGGGGAGACAGTCAGAACAGAGGCAGAGCCCCACAGAGCCTGTATGGAGGGCCGCCGTCTCACCAGTGTTGTCATTCCCGATCAGTTCCAACTTCCCTGACCATCAGACCACTGTGATGGATGGATCCACCACTAGACACAAAAAAAGGCCCACACTAATGGGTGCAACCTGGATGAAGGTATTCATTCCATTAGAAAACAAAATTCCGATTCAAGACCACGTGGATGGTCACCTCTGAGGACCCTCCTCAAGGCTTTGAAGAGTAAGAGACCCCTTATGTCCTTTAGCAACAGGACTCAGGAGAGTCTGAACACCCCAGGTACATCTATGCATGCCATGTTCCCCAAAGATATGGGAGGGATGGAGCTTGGTACATACTTGAGAACCTGGGCGACTGTGTTGGGCCCGTACCACTGGCCAATAGACTTGCCCTCGCCAACTCCCATTTGCGCTGCAGGAAACAGATCTGATTAGTGACACACACGTATCAACCATCAACATCCCTCCCCCCACCTCTTAGAAGAGGCTGGTCCTGGAGGCATGTGGCTGAGGAACACTTTACAGGAAGCCTGGACAGGCACGCCCAAACCTGCCTCCAGCATGAGCTGACGGACACCAGGGCACTTCATCCAAAATGGATAAACGCTGTCTCAAGGTTTGTCCTTCACTATGAGCCAGGATTCCAGTCCTTCAATGAGGAGCAGGATTAAGAAGTAAAATGACCCACTGAATTCAAAGCTGTATTTTTACTTCCTTCTACACTGAGAACATGATGCTCAGAAGTTGGACTTGCTTAAAACACAGGAGCATTCAGACTCCCTCACTGAATCTAATTTTCACAGATGCTGTGACGAGCAGCCTAGCCCAGGAGCCCACGGTGGTGACAAGCTTCACACCATACACACCACAATACCACAAAGCTCTTGAGAACCCCGAGACTCAATGCTTAGCTAAACAGCCAAGACATGGGCACCCTGCTCCCACCCACCTATCTGGTGGATAGAGTAGTAACTGTCTTTCCTGTCGATGAATGCGTTGAGGACGTGGAAGTAGCTGTCCGGCTGCCTCTTCCGCTGTGTCCACCTCCAATCTAGTGGAGACAGGTGCAGAAGTGCAGTTTTACCAAATGTGAGAAAGAAGCCTTTACGTTATGAAACACTGAAGACACAGATGGTATCCAAACTGCTTTGAACTGTGATCAACTTAAAAGCCCTTTCCAAGATTCCAAAAATGCCAACCCATCAACACAAATCCATACAGAAAACAATGGTTTCAGGGGTTTAAAGAGAATTTCTGAAGACAAACATTTATCAGCATTCTTTAAAGTCACTTTTAAAAAATCAATGAAAGCCAGTGGATCATTACTGAAGAAGCCCCTGAATCCTCATCTGTGTTTACACAACTGCACCCATAGTCCTTGCTTCCTGAGAACATCACTGTCCCCAGCGTGACTCACCTCGGCCTAAGTGCCGGCACAGCAGGGCCTGGGCGAAGATCATCTGTCCACAGCGGAGCATGCAGCCCCAGCCCGTGTCCGAGGTGGGGCCGGTCCCCCCTGTGGTGGCGCAGAGAGAGCAGACTCCAGTCAGGTCACTCTACACTGCAGGTGTCAGCACCATCTTGGCAACACACAACCTAGAAGGTGGTCATGCCGAGGACCCACTGCTGAGGAGTGAAATGTCCTAACAACCCTCTCAAAGGGGCAAAATATGTGAAAAGTCACAGAGGACAAATGTCTGGAAAACATGAGGAGACACTGTGCCCATGAGTCATCAGTACCCAGACAGTAGACAGCGGAATAGGAAGGTGGTCGGTGCTGGGAGGGGACAGGTTTCAGAGTCAGCCCTGAAGATGCGTGTGCTTTGGGCCCATCCACATCCCGTCTGCGCAGATTCTGACATTGGGCATGTGGTATCACGTACAGTGAGACAGACCTGGACATACAGGAAATGCCCTGATGTCCTAACCATCAGCAAGGCCTGGGATGGCTGGCACTAAACAATCAGACTCTGGAGCCAGACCATGTGGGCTGCAGTCTCACCTTTGAGCCTCATGAACCCTGCCCAGGCACGCAGGGACAAAGCCCACCTCTTGGTGAGATCAGAGAAGGCACTCAGCATGGTACCTGTCACTCCCCACTCCACCTCCCATACCAACAAGCTATGTCCAAGGGGCAAAGGGAGGAAACACCACACTGGCCTTTAGGACCTGGACAGCCCACTTCCTCCTCAACGACTGTGTCAAACAGCACAAGGCTCCTCTCTAGCCTGTCCTCTTTCCCTGTGTTCAGACATCTGATCTGCAGAACATCACTGTCCACACAGCATGCCTCAATTGGCAAGTGGGCAACTGCGCCTCCTGCAACCAGGGCTGAGCAAAACAGCCTCAGAGCAGGTGTGCAACCAGAAGAGAGTGCACCTGACAAATCACATCATTAAGTATTAACCTATGGGGACAATGGTCTCATTTCCCCACATTTCAGTGTCCCAATGTCAAGCATTGTGGCTATTTTATGCCCACCTCACTTCTGAAGAACAGAAGAAACCACATCTTGGAGAGGAACTGAATCAAGACTAGGCATTGAGGAGGTGTAGCCTCCTGGCCCCGAACCTCTGGTCTCAGGTCGTCTGACTGGCAAAAGCCAGTCCCCAACTTTTGTCTGCCTCCAGGGCACAATGATGAAGAATCATTTTTAATGAAACATACTTTAGCATCATGGGAAAACATGTCCCATCCACCCTGCCCTTCAGCTCTCCCACAACTACGTGTGGAACGTACTAGAGAAGATGATGGGTATAGAACAACGGCCTCCAGCCACCCTGGACCTACAGCCCTGACCCAGGACAAGACTCAAATATGTAATCTAACCACAGCCTCTGCAGAATTCACTCCTTCACAGTGCACTGTCTTCTCCGTTTTCATTGCTGATTGGGACTCCTTATCCTGGCTTTAAGTCCCAGTAACAAATGGCGACTTAGGTTTGGAAACCACCGTCAGAAGCCCTAGGTTTGGAATCTAGCTCTGCCACAACTTGGGGCAAGACTCACCAGCTCACTATCCTGGGGTTGCCATACGGATTAACACAAAGTGACAAGTACTAGGCATATCCAAGTCAACCTACTTATCAATCTGTTTTCCTCCTTCTAAAACATGCACATTGCATCACCACACATGGTGACAGGCAGTACTTACCAATGGCTGGGAAGTTCTTCCTGTATGTAAACCAGAGTCTGGACGCCACATCAGATAAGATCTCGTCCTTTTCTAAAGGATGTTTAAAAGAAGAAAACACACGCACACACAGAGGTGTAAGTACTAAGACAGGTTAGAGAGTTAGCAGATAACTATTATTATCACAAAAAGGATTTGGAGACTGAGCATTAAAAGCACAGTGGGCTCCAACACAGCACATACCTGTGAAGACGCTGTATTTTCTACCCAATATCCAAACAGGCTCCGAGGTCTCCGGGAAATCTTCAAACTCAGCAAATCGGAGAGTGTCATAGGTCAGAGTAGCTATTGAAACCAAAGATACACAATGATCAGATGTGCAGGGACATGTAGGGATGAGGCAGTGGGACCTGCCACCCCACTTCCTGAGCCTTTCAGATTCAAAGCCAGAGTCAGTGCCTGCAGAAACGAGGGTGAGAGATCAACTGGGGCCAGATCCAGGGGAGAGAAAGTTAAAAACAAAACAAAACAAAGCCTCCTGATTTAAACACTTGTTTTAGACTTAAAATGTTTAAAACCTAAAGGACAAAAGTAAAATGAAACCACACATTTATCTTTGTGTGCAAGGGAGGCCAGAAGGTAGAGTAAGCTTTCATAGCCGTCCCAGGCTCAGCAGACGTCACCTGGGAGCACGTGCCGAGGAGCCATGCTGAAGGCAGATGCGTCAGGGGCAAGAAACCAGAGCCAGACGTCCCAGACGACTGGAAGTTCCATTCCACCGCAGATTTCTTGGTGAGGAGCAGTTAGCTGTAGAGGAGCAGGCTGCAAACTCCTGGGTGGGACACTAGGCTCCAGAGAAGTGGAGAGAAGTCCCCTAAAGCCCCAGGTGCCGAGAGGCCTGGAGATCAAGGCCTGGAGCCTGCTTTCACTTTGATGATGATACCAGATGGGCACAACCACCATCTTCCACTGGCAATGCCCCACTTCCTAAGGAGATCACTGTGTGCAGAGCATGGTTCTACCTACTGAGCTAACAAGACCTGAACCCCTTCTTATTCTGTGTTGCTTTCATAAGAAACAAGACAGGCCCAGGGTCCCTCCTGTCCACAGAACCATGGCTGAGGAAACTCTGCTTCCGCACAGGTCCCCATACCTGCAATGCCAGGTGTGCGCAGTGTGCTCCGGGTGTCCCGTCTTTGCAGCTGCTTTTCAGAGAACCCTGAACACACAACTCTCACCTGCTGCCTCTCAGGCTCTCACAGGGCCCAGTCATCACATCCTTCACCTGCAACTTCACAGAAGTCTTTGGGAAATCAATATTATGTGAGTTTTTCCTATATCTTTATTCTTTGACAATAGCTCCACTTTTTGGTAAAAATAACATATGCTATTAAAAAAAAAAAAAGACTACAAAAATGTTATAAGAAATCATCTGCAGCCATAGCCAGTGTGACTCAGTTGGTTGGAGGGTCATTCCATACACCAGAAGGTGACAGGCTCAATTCCCAGTCAGGGCACATGCCTAGGTTGCAGGTTCGATCCCAGGTTGGGTGTGTGTGGGAGGCAACAGATAGATGTTTTTCTCTCACACCGATGTTTCTCTTACCCCCTCCTTTCCTCTCTCTAAAATCAATTTTTTAAATGTTAAAAAAAACCATCTGCAGCCTCACACCCAGAAATGACTGTCCTTCCAGAAGTCTTTCTGCACAAACCCTTGAATGAGGCCACAGCACACCTGTGGCTTCCTCATCTTATTCTTCTCAACAAGATGGTCAGTCCCCTAAGTCACAACTCCACCAGTGTCTTGTGTCTCACCGTTCTGAGGCATGCCATAATGGACTCACAGCCCTATTGAGTACGCCTTTTCACACCAGCACCCCGGCCATCTTTCTCTATTGCACACCACCCCCAGAGTGCTGGCTCTGGTGTCTAGTGGCCAATCACAGGCTGCAGGTTCCTGGGGCACTTATGTGACCTCTCAGGGTGGAAATTTCCTCACCATAAAATGGGGAAGGGACCCTTCCCAGGAGGTGCTCAGGAGGCTTCAGACAGAAGGGCTCCAAGGTCGGCAGTGTCAACAAGAACAAGAACTGCAAGCTTGCCCAGGCGGTGTGGCTCAGTGGTTGAGCATTGACCTATGAACCAGGAGGTCACGGTTCGATTCCCAGTCCGGGCACATGCCTGGGTTACAGGGTCAATCCCCAGTAGGGGGCATGCGGGATGATTCTCTCCCATCATTGATATTTCTCTCCCTTCCTCTCTCTAAAATCAATTAAAAAAAAAAAGAACTGCAGGCTCAAAGGCAAGCACTTTGCTACACCAGAACCTAAACCGATGAGCAGCTAAGTCCCCGTCACAGGGCCAGGAAAGCAGCACAATGAGCCATCAGATCCATAGCCACAGAAGGCCAATGTGCGTGACATAAAGAGTTCTCAGGCCCTACCCAGTTTGGCTCAGTGGATAGAGCAGCCGTGGGCAAACTACGGCCCGCAGGCTGGATCCGGCCCGTTTGAAATGAATAAAACTAAAAAAAAAAAAAGACCGTACCCTTTTATGTAATGATGTTTACTTTGAATTTACATTAGTTCACACAAACACTCCATCCATGCTTTTGTTCCGGCCCTCCGGTCCAGTTTAAGAACCCATTGTGGCCCTCGAGTCCAAAAGTTTGCCCAACCCTGGGATAGAGCATCAGTCTGCAGACCGAAGGGTCCTGGGTTCGATTCCAGTCAAGGGCAGGTACTTAGGTTGCAGGCTCCGCCCTGGCCCTGGCCGGAGCTCGTACAGGAGGCAACCAATTGATGTGTTTCTCTCACATTGATATTCCTCTCTGTCTTTCCCTCTCTCCAAAAATCAATGGAAAAATATCCGTGGGTGAGGATTAAAAAAAAAAAAAAAAAGAGTTCCCAGACTGTCACAAACCCAGACCCAGTTCTGTCTTTTCAGAGTCCCAGGAATCCTGTGCTTTCAGAGCCAACCCTGCTGCCCAGAGGGCCACAGTGCGAAGGTAGGTGCTGGGGCCTCATTCCTCTGCTCTCACATATCTCCTGTGTCCATGCATCCAGTCAATGTCAACCAGGCTGCTTAGTAATGGGAATGCATAATGTAATGTCAAGTTTATTTCTCCTTTTTTTTTTTTTTGCATAAGATTACTTGTATCTGTATGTAATTATAAAAACTGAGTTGGGATAAATGAAAAGTCTATCTTCTCAAGGAGCTGAACACATCATGTCTCTGCTCTCTAACCCACCTTTGTATCTTTAGCAATCACTGTCTTCTGTGTCCTCCAGGCCTTTACTGATATGTACACTCAAAGCCACAGTTTACTCTCAAGGAAAAAGGATGCCAATGACACCTGTCTGATTTCCATAGACTGTAATTCTCATCCTGTTGGAGCTGGAACATTCTACTGATGTTTGAGGCCTCCCAGGGCAGCAGCTGTGAACTAAAGATGCTTTCATCTCCTAAAATGCATCTCCTAAACTTTGGGCAAGTAGCTCCACTGTGGATGGTGGCACATGTGCAAGGACCATGATACTATCGCTGAGTCTGTAGCATCACTCTAGACCAGTGATGGTGAACCTTTTGAGCTCGGCGTGTCAGGATTTTGAAAAACCCTAACTTAACTCTGGTGCCGTGTCACATATAGAAATTTTTTGATATTTGCAACCATAGTAAAACAAAGACATATTTTTTATATTTATTTTATATATTTAAATGCCATTTAACAAAGAAAGATCAACCATAAAAATGAGTTCGCGTGTCACCTCTGACACGCGTATCATAGGTTCGCCATCACTGCTCTAGACAGAGACACTCCTCAGATACCTAGCTTCCCATATGAAGAAAGTGATGATAAGGAAGGAAAAGGCTCCTTCTGAAAGGGGGTTGACAAGGCCTGGGGCAGCTCTAAAGTTGAGGGGTTTCATCACTGTAGGAGCAAAATGCAAAGCAGGCACATTTCTTAGGTTTATGAGCAACTTTATAGGCAACGAAGCCAACTTCAGAGGGAGGGTAGTGAGAGGTGTTTTATTAAAACACATCATCGAGTTTCCTACCATAACTAAGAAAATTATGGGTTGTGTAGCCTCACATTCTTTACTGCCAAATGCCAGTGAGGAGACAAGACCCTTGCAGGAAATAAACTACCAGGAGGCAACCCCAGCTCCCGCCAGCTAAGCAGGAGCCACTCAGCAACAGCACCCATATCTGTGGGGTCCCTAAAGAGGGTCCCATCCCCGTCCCCTTGCACTTCACTGCTCTTCCTGTCTATGCAAACACCCAGGCCTCTGACCCTCCCCCAGTTGAACATGTGTGTCACGTCTGCCTCTAGAGTTAGACGTTCACGTGTCTCACTGCATGTACCTTCCTCACGACGGGGACCATCAGGGCTCTGTGCCCTGGAGGACAAAACCTGCTGAACATGGTGCAGACAGAAGCATGGACACCTTAACCAGTCTCGTCACCCCCACAAGTCAGTGACCTTCCTGTGCCTCGATTGTTTTTCTCCCTGGTAAAATGGAACAGCTGAGTTTTCCTCAAGGTTCGTGTGAGGAAAAACAAGTTAATAAGAGTGAAAAGCTATGACCTGTGCTGGGCAACAGTAAGCACGTCTCCACGTGGGCCCTCTGGGACTCCCAGAAATGGATGAGACAAAGATAACAGCCTGTGGCCAAACTGAGCTGCAACACCTCATACAATGTAAACAGGAAACCCACCGAACATGTGAATTACTTCATTATCACTGAATCCAGATAATACACTATCCTCACAGACAGGACAGGAGCAGAAGCCAGCTGTCTGTGCCACTGCACAAGCTCGTTCCACTATCTGCAAGCTTTCACCCTGGAAAATGAGTGTGAAGAGCCCCAGGACCTGCAGCAATTTCACCCAGAAAAGCAAGTGAAACACTTCTCATCCTTGAGCAGCCACCAGAAAGTCTTAACTGGCGTTGATGGTGGCTCTGCCTCTCTCACTTGCACTGGAGGACAGGACCAGCCTGTCCTGCCTGACGCCTGAAATGCCACAGGTCAGGCACTCTAGAGCACAACAGAGGCACCTAGACCCCCAAGCTCCTGGACCTTCTGAATCAGACTTTCTAATGGAGAAAGGAGAAATTTTCCAAGTAACATTTACTCCTAATGCTCAAATTCCTAATTTATATGGACATTTGTTTTGTTTTTTAATACATTTGTATCGATTTCAGAGAGGAAGGAAGAGGGAGAGAGAGATAGAAACATCAATGATGAAAGAGAATCATTGATTGGCTGCCTCCTGCACGCCCCCTACTGGGGGTTTGAGCCTGCAACCCAGGCATGTGCCCTTGACCGGAATCGAACCCGGGACTCTTCAGTCCACAGGCCGACGCTCTATCCACTGAGTCAAACCCACTAGGGCTAAAAATTTGTTTTTTAAGAGAGACCACTTGCTAGCTATGGGACACATGACTTAACTTCTCTAAGCCTCAGTCTCCTTGGCCATGAAATGGGGCAAAGCCGTCAACTCAGTGGGGACAACACAGACGGGTGCACAGCACCCAGCAGTGGTTTTGAGCACCTCCATTTCTATTGTATTATTTCAGGACTCATGATGACTCTGCTCTCAGGCCAGCAGCCACCTGCCTCCCCGAGATGGCCCCCTCATCTCAGTTCTCAGCGGCATTATAGTGTCACCTGTCTTTCTACACAATTCATATTATTTATGAAGCAGTCCCATACCTCCCAAGTGTAAAGGACTCTAACCTTGAAAAGAAAAGCCAGTCTCTAGACTTCCCCGTTTTGACTTTAATTTGAAATAAGATGGCATGCAGGAGAAGCCAGATGGAGAAGCATCGTCCATCTTATGAAAGAGGCCCTTTGAGAAGTACTTTCCCCATGTCGTCACCTGGGTCCCAGACGCCTAATTTTCCACATCTTTCCTGGGATATCCCTGAGCACACCTGGAACAGGATGCAGAAAGCCCTTTAACAGCATGGTAGCTCCATTAGAAAAAAGTTTCAATTTAATATGATTAATATGATAGAAAAATAGGGAATTGTGCTCAAGGAATATAACTAACTTCTCTGCACTTAAACCAATCATATTGTCATTCAGATTCAATCAGGGAAAACCACAAAACATTTCACCATTAGATTTCTTTGAGAGCTTATCATGTTTCCATATTTCCCCAAAATACTGCTGTATTCTGAAATATTCTCTGTTATAAATAAAATCAAGTGAAGGGGTCTCCCCTTCCTTTAGAAAAAAATTAAGAAAATATGTTTGCAAGTTGTTTTTTTTAAATCTCAAATACTTTATATGAAGATGCTGGTGGTTCAGTTCTGAATGAAATGAGGGAGGGAGGGAGGCAGGGAGGGAGGGAGAGAGGGAGGAAGGGAAGGAGGGAACAGAAGAAATGGAAGGGAAGGGATGGGACAGAACCGGGAACTTTAGCACCACCAGGAAACTGGAAAGCACTGCCTCAGTGAACACAGGGGACAGAATGTCCACATTAACCTCACTGCTCTGCCGTGAGCAGCCCTTCTCACTCACAGACACCTTACACCAACAGACTGGATCTGTACTATACACAAGCTCTACAACTGAAATTCTTAAAGCACAGGAATGTGCAAGTTATTAATTCAAGTTGTTCTTCTTCAATTACCAGTCATGTACATGCCAGACACAAAATAAAGCCCTGGAGATGCAAGTATAAGACACTGCTCTGTCTTCATAGAACGGACAGTGCAGCCATTTATGTTTTTGTTTTTTTAAATTGATTTCAGAGAGAGGAAGGGAGAGAGGGAGAGAGAGAGACGGAAACATCAATGATAAGAATCAATGATCAGCTTCCTCCTGCACGCCCCCTATTGGGGATGGAGCCCGCAACCCTGGCATGTGCCCTGACCAGGAATCGAACTGTGACCTCCTAGCTCATGGGTTGACACTCAACTACTGAGCCACACCAGTCAGGCCAGTGTGGCCATTTAAATGCTGGGCCTGGCGTTCCCTGAACCAGGAGTGCGTTTTGATGGACAGTGCTGGAGGCTCAGTGAAGAAGACAGCCAGCCTGGTACCTTCTGGACCTCTAAGCACCTGCAGCCCTGAGCCATCCCCTCCCTGGCTCCTCCTCTTTTCTCCCACACTCAAACCCTCAGGGACCTCACTCAAAGTGGCCTTCCACACATTGGTCCCTCTAGACCAGGTCTACTCCCTCAGCTCCAGGCCCATGGATCCAATGTTCCCCAGACATCACAATATAAATGTCTGATGATACCCCGTGTACATGTCAACATGTACAAAACTGACTCCCAAGAGTTCCCCACCAGGCAGGATATCCCCGTGTTCCCCATCTAGTTTCTGAGCTCAGGCCATACATACACTGCGTCACCATCTTAACTCCTTCCTCTCCATCGCCACCCCTCACCACTGCCCATCTGTACACAGCCCTATCATCTCCACCTTCAATACACCAAAATTCAGCCTCCTCTCCCGACCCTGACCCAGACTCCCAGGCCTCTCGCCTGGCCCACTGCAAGAGCCTCCTAACTTGTCTGCTGCTGCTCTATCCCTCTGCAGCACAGTCTCAACAGAGCAGCCAGAGTGAGTCTGCTCCAGTCTGGTTACTCCTCAAACCTTCCAGAGCGTCACCATATCCTTCAGGATAAGCATATGCCCAAGTCCTCACCATGACTCAGCGAGGCCCCATGCTGGAGCCCAAGTTGCCTCTCTGCCTCCAGCTTCTGTTTCTCTTAGCCCACTCACTGTGCCCTGGGCACACTGGCCTACTTGCTGCTCCTTGCATGCCACCTGCCCCTCCTTCTCCACTGCTTCTGGGTCTTGGTCAAACTTACCTCTGCCGTGAGACCTTCCCTGGCCATCCTGGCTCCAACTCCAACCCCCCTGCTTGGCCCACATCACTCTTCCACATGACCCATGCCACTGGTGTCACGTCTGGAATGTGAGGAGAGCATGGTTATCATCTATTTTTTTCACTTCTCTAACCCCAGGGTCTAGAACAATGCCCAACACAAACCTTCTGCACAATAATAAATGTGGTTTACTGAATGTATGACTGTGAAAACAAGTAGGAATCTCAAACACTTGATCAAGGAAGGCAGACTCTGTAAGGACAGAGGGATCAGGGGAAGGTGGGCCATTAATCACCCCTAAAAGGATGTAAGCGTCAGGTCAGAAGAAAGCTCCCCACCACACCCTACAACCGTCAATACGTTTTTATCAGCATCAACACAGGCCTTCAAAGGCAAACACTTTTCCTGCTTTGAAGCAGCCTTGAGTGTCTCATTAGGGTATCATCACATGGCTACTCCTAAGTTTATAATTAAAAAAACAAATCCTCACTAGAGGATATGTTTATTGATTTCAGAGAGACAGAAAGAGAGGGGGAGAGAGAAACATTGATGTGAGAGAGAAACACTGACCGCTTGCCCTCCCTCCCCGGCACTTGCCCTAATGGGGATTGAAACCTTTTTTTTTTTTTTTTTTTTTTTGGGACAATGCTCCAACCAATTGATACACCCAGCCAGGGTGGTTACTCCCAACTTTAACATGATGACTTTCACATTTCAGGTAACATGACCATTAAACTGTTTTCCACCTAAACCAACTCTCTCATATGACTGACTTTACGTATCGAGCAGTAGTAACTTAAAGTGGACAAGTAATTCTATTCCTTCTCTACCCCTTGCCCCGGCTAATAGTACAACAGTGTCCGGTACCTTTTTCTTTGTAATGAACTGGACAAAAAAATGTGTGGCTAACAGGCTCCTTTGGGAGTCGGGGCTACTGTTTCCTCCAGCCACCCACCACTTAAGTGAGGAAATGCCACAAATCATTGAAATACTGGCAATACACGTCTATTTTACAGTTTCCAAACGGAGATTTCAGTAAATGTATGTTACAGCTGCCAGGAAAAGAAAAACGAAGCAGAGACCATGGGATAGGAGGAATTAACCCAGATGAAAGTCTTCCTTCATTGGGGGTGAGGGGTGGCAGCCCCTACGGAAGTGAAAGAATTAAAACTATGGAATGGAGAAGAGCGTCCAGGTAAAAACGCTTTCAAGGCTCCTGGACAAAGATACAAAATGCCTTGCCAGCAAAATTTAAGCTGCAGAAGCACAGCGGGCTAGGCGGGAACACCCCACACACGGACGTGTGCGCATACACCCTCCCACCCCACTTGGCATTAGGACCCCGAGAAGTTATGATATAAAAGATGGCTCCAGTTTCTATTTTAAATCACAGAAAAAGTAGTGTGTTGGTTACTTTAAAAATTGAAAACCCAAACACGGTGCGTGTGCTGAGAGTGCTGAGCATGTTTCTTGCCTCCGGCTCACCCACCGACATAACTTTATAGAAGTTAAAGAGTTTCCACTTCGTAACTCCCAGCGGAGCAGAGGCAACAGCTTCCCACGACCGCAGCTTCAGGACCTACCACCGCCCGCGCCCCTAGCGATGCCCGACCCCGCCCTCCCGTCCCGGGCT